GGGCAAAATATTTTCAATTCTCAAAAGTATTGACAATCATATCTTATCTAATCTTATCTAACACCAACACAGCCAGTTCTTGAAAGCATTCTGGAAAATGATGGATATATACCTCCATAATTTTTCTTGTCTATTTGATATATGTTTCACATCGAAGATGCGTCACACATATCAAAACGGCCAGGACTGTGCAGCATTTAAGGGTCAAGATGATTCAGAAAATATCGGGCCTGTTTAAATTGAAGATTTAAACACGATGCTTCAGAATCCAATAAATGGATGAAACGTGGACATCTCGTACCGTACATTCCGGTTTTGGTAATTATATGATTGGTTGGTCGTTGGAAGCATCAAAGCTAGAAAGGTTAAGTGATGCTCCATTTTCTTCTGACGGTTGGGGCATGAGCACTAACTCTTGTCCTAGCCTTTTATGACTTATGGCTATAGCGCCATTACTCGTTTTCTGAAAAGAGAAGAGGGAAAGGAGAAGGACAAAGGGAAAAGGATAATGTGAAATCTATGAACATAAACAATATTTTTGATTTGAAATATACAATATAGAAATGCATAACGGCGCGGTGGTCACTACCCGAGTCTTGTCACAGTTACAGTAACAAGGACTAAAATGTGATCATTTGATTACTGGGTCACTACTGTCACGACTAGGGTTTGGTCAGACCTCCTTCACTCTTTGGATTTTTTTGGAGACAGATAACAGCGCCAAATGGTTTGTGACGAGACAACTTTGAACTGCAGCGTTGGAAGAAAACACACACACCAGCATCATACATGTACGAACCCACACAACTGAGCGGACGGTACAGCGCAAATCAAAACACGAAGCGGTGTCATCACTCATCGTCTTCATTCAGCTTCGGCTACTTCCGTTTGCGTTTGCTTTCACCGGCGTTGACAAATACTTCCTACGTTATAAAATAGGAAAGTAATGATTATTCCAATGTAATTTTTGAATAGAATGCGTGCTGCGTTGATCAAAGAAGACGGCATATTTTATTACGTTTAGCAATGATTTCGATACGTTGCATTTCCAGTGACTGGGGTGTTGGAATAATTCTTTAGAGAGAATGAATGCTTTTCCCATTTTTACTTCTATGCTTATTACGATTCTTTTGAGCACCAACTCCGCAAATCATCAATTACTATTAGAGATTTGCATCTTACTGATACCGGTGGTGTATTGGAAACTCTTTCGCTCGAAAGCAAAACATATTACAAGCACATCATGATGCGTGCTTGAATGTGTAATTGTCTTCTCAAGTGTTTCTGTTGCGTATAAAGTGGTAATGATTGAAAATCATAAACAAGTAAGAATCTTGCTATCGCAATACAATGATGATGACTTCGATGATGATATCGTCCTCTTTCCTCGGCTGATCATCAACGACCGCATTGACATCTATCATGCTGACACCTGTCAGTTATTGAGCCCAGGTGGTGAAGTTGGCGGGGAATTCCCAACAGTTTCAATGAGCACTCAACAGATGGCACTGCGATCACATACGGGTGGTAATTATATGCCTTGTATGAGGAATGATTAGTGGGATATCTTGTTAATTAGATATCTTTGGTTTGGTGGTAGATCTTATACCAGTAACGCACCACAAAAAAGTGATCGCCCAACGTTACTGGTTTGAAAAGATAAAAATTAACAAAATGGAACAAACTCACCGAGTTTAGCCAATTGAACCTGAAGGTTGCCTGACATGTGTTGATGTAGAAGTCCAAATTGTAGACGAAGCTTGACGAAGATCAGTATGAACTAGTCCGGTTTATGGTAGTTGCGCGGAATGTCCTCCTTCGATTTGAGATAAACAAATATTCGGATGTAAATAGTCGATTTTTGATGTCCATTGGCAAGCCTTTTCGTGGCCAATACTCAGGTTTAACGCTGCGACTCAACGAATGATGGAACTAATGATGGGACGAATGATTTAACGCCTTGTGGAGGTTCTACTTCGCTTCGGAACAGCGTCTCGGAGGCAAATAATAGGGACCTAGGCCTGGTTATGGCCAGATCAGCAACCGATTATAGATAAAAAAAACTCCACAGAAAAAATAAACGTCAGGTTCCTCAAAAGAATTGACAATCATATTGATGCAAATATTGACTACGAATATATTGATCAGCATATTGACGCAAAATCAAAAGCGCCCATTACACATATCAATATATTGAAAATAAATTTACACACTGACAATATTATTGAAAAGGTGATATTGAAGACGATAATTGATGACAAGTATTGACGAATAGCTGATTTTAATTTCATTTTGTCAATACTCAGAATGTATTGACAAAAAACCGTAAATTTCGCCATCAATATCATAAATATTCGAATATTGACAACATTAATGACAATACGCTAGAACCTTTTTTACTTCAATGTATTAAAGTCAATATTACTTGTCTCAATTCCCCTACACAAGAAACATGGAACAGCGAACGAAAGTGTGTATTGGCGTTGACGGCACCGTCGAAAAATTGTATCTTCTAGAAAAGATTGAAAGTTTCTTATGAGATTTTTCGATGGAGTGAAACGATAGTACAAAGTCCGCCATGTTTCACGCACAGTCTGATAACGGTGCCGGTGGTGTAGTAGTAAGCGTGATTACCTCTCACTCCAGCAGGCCTGGGTTCAATCCCAGTCGGCACCGCCGGGATGTTCTGAGGCATAACATCTCTGATCACGCCTTCTTTCGGATGGGAAGTAAAGCCGTTGGTCCCCGGTTCATGAGTTGATGGGTCGATAGGTAGGGTCCAGGTGTGGGAGCTGCCTTCCTGATCTTGATGATGGAAAAAACAAACCAAAGGAAAATTGGTTTCTATATAATCTACTAAATCAGGACTCCGCTGTTCGGTTTACAAATCAGTGGAAAATTTTCACCCAATAGTATAAATAGTGTTATATAATGATCTATTCCAAATCTATTCTTAAGTTCTCGTATAAATTTAAAGGAATGTTGTTTACAGAATGATGAATGAACTAGGTGATTAATTATAGCATCCAATTTTATTTTTAATATCACTGAACTCTCCTGTTTCGTTAGAACAATAATGTTTACCTAATGTTGCTCATACATATAATGCTTAGTTTTATCATAATGATACCCTAGTTTTATCACGATGAATATCCTCTAATTATTTCTGGCAAATTACTATTGATTATTAAAGTCAATTAATGACCAGAAGACATGCAAGAATGTTAATGTAGGTAATATGTCATATAAACTGTATTAATCGGCACACATGTAGTTTATTAATTAACATAGGATGTACCGTGAACGTGGGTTATTCTGCGTGAGCTGTAATTCCACGGACTTGTTATCCAAATACCAAATTCGATGATTCTATCCGTAGGCCATTGCTTTGGCTTCGAATTGTCGTCCACTAGTAGAACGAAGTCGCCGACCGAAACGTTGTGGGATGAACGTTGCCACTTTGCCATCCGCTGCAGAGATAGCACGTATTCTGTCTCCCATCTAGTGCGAAATTCTTTCGAAAGACGCTGAACGAACTGCCAGCGTGACATCGAGCTAATTTGCCGCTCCAGCAAGTTGACTTCGGGAACGGTGGTGAGTGCACGACCGATGAGAAGGTGAGCAGGAGTGAGAGGTTGAGCATCGATAGGGCTATTGGAGATCGGTGTAAGGGGCCTCGAGTTCATGGTGGCAGCAATTTGAGCTATCAGCGTGGACAGTTCTTCGAAGGTAAAGATGTAACTGCTGGTGATCTTCGACAAATGCTGCTTAGCAACCTTGATCGCTGACTCCCATAATCCTCCATGGTGTGGAGACCGAGCTGGAATGAAGTTCTATTCCACTCCCTTGTCGGTTAGAAAGTCGACCACTTCATCGTTGTGTACAGAAGAGTTGAGTTGCGCGTACGTTTCTCGAAGGTACTTAGCTGTTGCTCGGAAGTTCGTTGCGTTTTCCGAGAACATTTTCGCTGGCAAACCGTAGCGGCAGGAAAATCGAGTGAATGCCGCTAAGAACGCTGCAGTAGTAAGCTCAGACACAGCTTCCATATGCACGGCCTTTGTTGTAAAGCAAACAAAGAGTGCGATGTACCCCTTGCTTTGTTTCGCACCTCTGGTCCTACGTCCAACAATGCTGCCTGGACCGGCATAGTCCACGCCAGTAATCGCAAATGGTGGATTTGGTTGAACTCGATCAGATGGCAGCTGACCCATTTGTTGATACGTTGGTACTGGCTTATTTAGCACGTGCACACGTCACACACTGACGATAAGCCTTCCTTGCTGCACTTGCACCACTAATTATCCAAAATCTCCTGTGGGATACGGCTAGTAGTGTTTGTGGCCCGCAGTGGTGATGGACGATGTGGTCATGTTTAACAGATAAGATGTGAGGATAGAATGGCGAGGTATCAATATAGGATGTCGAACATCGTAGCTGAGACTTGACTGTTGTAGTCTTCCGCCCACCCTGAGCATACCCTCTTCGTCCAGGAAAAGCTTGAGTTGGTGCAAACTGCTGTGCGAACTAACTTCTCCTTGCTGCCGCAAATGATCCAGCTCTTCACGAAAGTGCTGTTGCTGAACGTGGCGAATGGTAACTGTTTGGGCTCGATCAAGCTCCCGTGGTAACAGACGAGGAATCGATCGAGAGTCAGGAGACCTCAACCGTAGAATACGAGCAGTGACCCGAAGCAGCATCGTGATATCGGGATAAAATCGTGCCATCATTCCATCGAGAAAGTCATTTTCATAGAGAGTGATGAGAGAAACGGCTACTGCACCAGCTCTTTGCTCCCTATCAATGTGCTGTTGGTCAGTGTTGGTCAGTGTAGGGATGTCGGTTGATTCACATTGCTCACCTATGGGGCTCCATGCAGGACCATTTCACCACAGACTGTTGTGCTGAATTTGTTCTGGCGATGCACCGCGCGAAATGAGATCAGCGGGGTTTTGCTCCAATGCGATGTGGCTCCAATTGACTGCCGGTAGGTGCTTGGTGATTTATGCCACCCGGTTGGCAACAAAGGTTTTCCAGCGGGAAGCACCGTCGTTGAGCCAGGCAAGCACAACACTTGAATCCACCCAAGCTCGTATCTCGAAGAAAGGTTGATTGATGGCGCTTGTTACGTTGTTGATGAGTCGTGCGAGGATCACTGCAGCACATAACTCCAAACGTAGCAGCGTCGTTCGTTTATTTCCAATTGGCGCAACCTTGGACTTTGCGCAGAGTAGATGCGAACTATTATTCCCAGCATCGTCGATCGCCCGGATGTAAATGCAGGCACCCATGGCTCGCTCGGATGCATCACTGTAGCCGTGCAGGAAAATTCGCGACGTCCTGTTAGTGCCGATAACTCGTCTCGGAACCTGAAAGGAGTTGAGAAAGGCCAGACCTTGCACGAAAACTTGCCAGATATTAGTCAACTCACCAGGGGGAATAACATCCCAGTCCAGTCCAGTCAGTTCCCACAAATGTTGCATCAGTAGCTTCGCTTTGATGATGATAGGCGCAAGCAGACCGAGTGGGTCGAAAAGGCTGGCGATGTTGGAGAGAATGATGCGCTTTGTGGGCTGAAGGATCTTGGGTGGTTGGACGTTGAACAGGAATTCGTCACTGCACGGCTGCCAGTGGATCCCGAGGGCCTTGATGGTGTTGGGTTCGTTGAGCTCGATGGGAATTTTCATTTCAAGGTCTGCCTCAGGAACACCTTCTAGGGCTTCGTTGCTATTAGAAGCCCACTTCCGCAGGTGAAATCCTCCGGCAGAAAAGATGATGGAAAGCTCTTGTCGAAGTTGCTTGGCTTCATCAGCAGAATCAGCACCCGTCAGTAAGTCGTCGACGTAAATCCCCTTGATAGCCTTCTCAACTGCATCCGAAAATTGCCCTTGATGGGAGAGCAGAAGCTGCTGTACACATTTTGTCGCCAGATACGATGCGCTTTTGGTACCGTAAGTAACGGTATTTAGACAGTATTCCTGGATCGGCTTGTCCTCTGACCAGCGCCACAAGATTCGAATGCAGTTTCGATCCTCATCGTAGAGAAGCACCATTCTATACCTATGTTTCACATCACCGGCGAGTACAACTGGGGGAAACCGGAATCGCAAAAGGATGTTGACCAGAGAATCCTGTAACACAGGGCCCGCCAAGAGGATGTCGTTGAGGGACTTGCCACTGCTTGTTTTAGCTGAGGCGTCGAAGACCACCCGGCACTTTGTCGTCGAACTATCCTCCTTTACGACGCAATGGTGTGGAAGGAAAACACAATTCTCCGATACTGGTGTAGTGGCGAGACTCATGTGCCCGAGGTCGATGTACTCTCGCATAAAAGAATGGTACTGTTGCTTCAAATTAAGGTTCCTTTCCAATTTGCGCTCGAGGTGTAGCAGTCTTTTCTCTGCAATTTCCCTCGATTTGCCGAGAGAAGTAGGGCTGTCTAAGTATGGAAGCCGAACGATGAATTTTCCGGTACTATTACGAATCGTGTGCTTCGTGAAATGCTCTTCGCATCGGATCTCTTCATCGTTGAAGTGCGGAGATTTATTAGTGTATTCCTCCAGTTCCCAGAACTTGCGGAGCTGATCGGAGAGAGGATCATTGGGAGTCGTCAGTAAGCATGAAGGAGCGTTAGTGTGAGGTTGATTGTCGCAGTCTTTGTAGCCACCAGAAACCACCCATCCTAATTTAGTATTCTGGAGTACGGGAAGGTAGTCGTCCAAACCAAGGTTGTTTCTTCCAGGCTCGAGCAGCTGGAAGAAGAGTTTGTTCCCGAGAAGGATGCTGACCTTTCCGGGATGGTGAAATTGGGGATCAGCCAACTGAATCGACCCTGGAATTGGCCAATCCGTGATGTTGATCGGCTTTAACGGGAGCTCAGAAGTAAGTCGCTCAGGAATAATGCACGGCACTACATTCCGATAGTCTGAGCAACGTGAAGCGAATGTAATCAATGCTCCTTTATTCGCGTGCCCAGAAGTATTAGCAATTCCACCGAATTCGAAGTCCACATCTGCAGTGGAGAGACACAATTTCTTACACAAATCCTCAGTGATGTAGCTTGTGTGGGACGCGCAAGCAAGGACTGCTCGACAAGCATGTGGACGTCCAAACTTGTCAAAGACGTTGATGGTAGCGGTCAGGAGTAGAACATTGGTGTCCATGAAATCGGTTGCTCGACAGAGATGTGTTTGCGACATCGAAGACGAACCATAGATATTGGTTGTGGCCACTGTACTGTTGCCTGTCGTTGAAGCGGCAGTTGATTGGAGTGCTTCGTGCATACGAGTGTGGTGAGGAAGATTACATTTCCGACAATTGCCGGACTGGCAAGGTTCACCGGAATGTTGCTTCAGGCAGTTCTCACAGGGGTTCTGCCTACGGATAAAATGGAGTCGTTCATCGTAGCTGACATGAAGAAACTTACCACACTGATACATTTGATGCGGTGATTTTGCACAAAAAACGCACATTAGTGGAGTAGAGAGGTGCCCGGTGGTGACGAGAGCTGTTGGTCGCCTGGTAGAATGTTTACTTGGAAAAGGCGTGATGAACATCGGTTTCTTCTGACGAATCGGCTGAACAGATTTCAGTGCGCAGCTTTGGGCATCGATAAACTTCAGGAACCTCTCCAAGGTAACTTGTTCGTCTTTGAGCTCCGACTTTTTTTGACACCATAACTGCTTACTTTCAGGATCCAGTTTTTCGGCTAGAATGTACAGCAACCATATATCCCTTCCTTCCTGATTCATGGCCTGCAGTGCTCGAATAACTTCATCGGACACATCATGTAGGGAGCGCAGACCGATGATGCTGCCTCATTGCGGGTCGAAGAAAAATCGAACCTTTTTCGGAGCTTCAACAGGGTACCTTTCAGGGGAGCGAAATTACCCTCGAATTCGGCCTGATGTTTCTGGATTTCATCCATTGCAACCAGGGGTTGAAACAGTTGACGTTTTTTACTACACTCGCTTCGTTGTCGTGCGCGACAGTCTGTTTGTATTCGAACACTCATGCTCTACCGTCGTCTCTCTCACACAACACGAGCGGTAGAATAACATTCGAGCTAAAAGAAAATTATCAAAATAGCTATCATATGACATGTGTGATTTCGTTGTAATTCCTAAATTTGGTGTAAATCAAACCATTTCTGATCAGAAATATTATTACTAGGACATCATTGCTTGCTATTTTCAGAATTCACACAAGCACACCATCAGCAGCTCTTATTATGAGAAAAACTAAAATACATACATTCGTGACGGTCTTCGGCGACAGTGTCGTATGACAGAGCCTTTGACATGACATTTTAGTTTGGTACTGTACTATGATAGCTTGTTTTGCAAGTGTCGGAGGCAAAGGCAGCCAATTATCACAGAAAATGTGTCGACTACCATGACCGCTTAAAAGACTGCTTGCAACTATCCACCATTCGCTTGTGAACCGAGAGATAAGCCGCCCAAATTTCTCGAATGTTATCCAGCTCGGTTTCGATGTCAACGTCATCGATATCATCCCTCTTCTGAAGCTTCTGGATATTTTGCGATGCTCGGTATAAACGTGCTTCGAGCGATCTCCTCTCGCGTAGTAGCTTGTCCATGGTGGGTAAACTAGACGATGATAAGTTTCAGTATCACCTACTTTCACCGGGAATGTTCTTTTCAGAGGTGATATTCCAACCTCACTCTGGTACTCACTTTCGCGAATCGAGGCACAGTGACGAAAAGTAGATAAACGCTCCTTTTTGATCACCTACGGCCCGATCCGGTTCGAAGGACCAATTTATGGAGTGGCCAGAGCCGGAGAAAATACGGAAAACCCGGGAAATCACGATCTAAAGAACGAGTAAAAAAAAAACGCATGCGAATCACTTCACCGATTATTCAATTGATTTTTATTTGAAGTTGGTTGTAGGAAAGAGAATACAGTATATGTAAAGAAAAGAGACAAACTTATCGATCAATAACCACTACAGGGGATGCTGCAGGGGACAACTGTTCACATCTTAGTTGGAAGGGGAACGTCCAGAGATTTCACTCGAACAGTTAGTATGTCAATTTACTGTCAATATATTGACCCGTGTAACGAGCGCTTTAGCGTGTTGTCATTAATGTTGTCAATATTTATGTATTGATAATATTGTATTGTATTGTGCGCTATTGTTGGAAACATTGACGAAACTTCTGTCGTACGATTTGTGAACAATTAAAGGGTGATACGGTCAAAATTTGGTTATTTACTTTCGATCACTTGACCGGGATCAGTGGTTTTCGACTTTGTAAGAATCGTATCGTATCGTATTGTTAGAATCATATCGACTTTGTTAGAATCGTATGTTCATCTCACAATCACACAATGCACACACGTTCAAGTCCAACGTTTTGAGTGGTCAACGTCAGAGAAGTTGTCCAGTTGTCCAATCCGAAACATCACTGGAAGGTCACATACAATTCTAAGGGCCACAAAATAAGGCTGATATCATATTAAGATTTAAAGGGTGATACGGTCAAAATTTGGTCAAGGGAAAACGCGTGTAAATCGGTGAAATCGTTTATTTAAAAAATCAAATTAAATTTCTTTTTCAAGTTCAATTAGTATAAAATTCAGGAAAAATATTCAGTTAGGCTTCCGCTTTTCCAAATCCGAATTGCCGGGCCTTACGCTTGACCCCTGCCATCAGATTTTGTACAGCCACCTTGTCCACCTTCTTCGCCGCAGAAAGCCAGTTTGCCTTGAACTGCTGCTCGCCCTTAGCAGTTTTTTTGGTCTTCTTTAGGTTCCGCTTGACAATAGCCCAGTATTTCTCAATTGGGCGGAGCTCTGGCGTGTTGGGAGGGTTCTTGTCCTTGGGAACCACCTGCACGTTGTTGGCGGCGTACCACTCCATGGCCTTTTTACCGTAATAACAAGATGCCAAATCCGGCCAAAACACTACGGAACAACCGTGTTTCTTCAGGAAAGGCAGCAGACGTTTATTCAAACACTCTTTCACGTAAATTTCTTGGTTGACAGTCCCGGAAGCTATGAAAATGCTGCTTTTCAAGCCACAGGTACAGATGGCTTGCCAAACCAGATATTTCTTTGCGAACTTTGACAGTTTCATGTGCTTGAAAACATCTGCTACCTTTCCCCTTCCTTTTGCCGTATAAAACTCCTGTCCCGGAAGCTGCTTGTAGTCGGCTTTGACGTAGGTTTCGTCGTCCATTACCACGCAGTCAAACTTCGTCAGCATCGTCGTGTACAGCCTCCGGGATCGCGCTTTGGCCGTCGTATTTTGTTTATCATCGCGATTTGGAGTCACTACCTTCTTGTAAGTCGATAGTCGACAAACGTTCCCCAAACACTTTAATTACATTTGTAACGGTTGATTTGGCAACTTTTAGCGATTTTGCCAACTGCGTGCGAGTAGCTCGGATTTTCACGATGCGCGAGCAAAATTTTGATACGCTGCTCTTCTTGCTTGGACGGCATTTTGACAACTGAAGAGTGAATTCCAAAATCAAAATAGGAGCAACATTCTACACACACACACCTTCAAAATGAGGGGTGTTCAGGTTTTTTAAATGCAAAATTGAAAGAAATACGTCAAGTTGATATTGACCAAATTTTGACCGTATCACCCTTTAATGGTACAGTCAAGAGTTTACAAAGCTACTTCACTTAAAATGTTGCTGTTAACGACTTGTCGAAAATTGAATTCAATGTTGAACTAACGACAATTCTTTGTTTGTTTTGTTTAACACATTTGAGGTCATTCAGGTGATATTTGAACTCAAGTCTTTCAGTGTGATGCTAACCGTGTCCGCCAGGCACGTATTCAGTTAATTATTATCAATGCAAAAACCGTAATCAGATTGATGTCATTGAAAGCGGGATTAGTTTTGATTCCAATTTGATCTCCAGCTTTTCTCGGGCTGCTTTCCACAAGACAAAGCGGAATGTTTCAAATGTGTAGCATCGCCTCATTTGGGTGTCGATTTCCTCACATTTTAATCGTTTCAAAATCAATCTATTAGAAGTACGGTGTATCAGAAAGATCATTACATGCTTCATTAGTACCGGCTGGCAAAGCTTTTATTCGGCACCCATCTCATCCTCATTACCATCATCATTAGCAATCAGACAAATCTGTTATGTGGAAAGTTCTCTCTCTATCTCCTTCAACTACCATCGCCAACCCTATCATCATCATCATCATCATCATCATCATCATTATCATCGCAAACAGCACTTCTGGGTTGTGTAATCATTAGAGTTGCCCTTGGTACCCTTACACATAAGGTGTCAGTCCGGACGGCAGCAGCAGCCCTCACCTAACCTCTTCCGAAAAGCTCCCGCTCATGGTAAGTTTCCTCACTGTGAGAACCAAGTTCGACACGTCACATTAGAGCCACTTTATATCGCTTGATAAGTGCAGGTATGTCGGTCGGTCTGCCGGTCGTCGGTTGGTCTATTTGTTCAAGCGCGCGCACACCACACACCTCAAATGTTCCTGACGGAGCGGCGGCCAAGTGGCAGATACTAGGTAGGATATGTAGGTAGTTATGACCGAGCAAGCACATTTCGTAACACGTTTTGTCACACACCATAAATATTTACTTTATCTGCAATTACGGTTTTATTGCTCGACACAATAATCTCCTTTCTTCAGGTGGAGTAGAGCTGCTGAAGTGTCTGTCTGTCGAGTCATCATCGCATATCTACCTGCTAGGTTCCCCCGGCCAGCAGTGTGTGACCAGAAGGCGTTTGCAAACCCGGTGTTTGCTTTGGGTTGGTTGGTTAGCAAATGCGCTTGGAACAACAAGACAAGAACATTGTCACTTTGGCAGTAGATGTGTATATCTGTTGGGTTAAGGTGGTAAGGAAGGACCGCAGCCGGTAAGCGCTTAATGCCACTCACTGATCTCTCTGGTGTGCGATCATGATGTGCTAATTGCGTTCTTTAGTGCCACCTGCTTTCTGGGTTAGGTACTCTGATCGGTCAGCATAATCCTAAGCATTTGAATCAACAAGGCCTTTGGGTACTAGCAAAAAACAAACTCATAGCTGATCGATTAGCTGCCCAAAACAACCGTCATTGTTCAAAATCTTTCATTACCCCTTCTTCCCTGATGTTCGATAGTCTTTCTCACCTCTTTCGCCCCACCATCCATCATCAATTGCCTGCGCCGTCATCGCGCACCGTTTCTGGTTTGTTGCGCCGAAATTTTCACGCTCGAAAAGCCCATTTTCAATAGTTTCCAATTATCCTGCATGATTCTCTTCGCACCATTTGGCTCGACTTACCTTCCTACCTACCTACCTAGCAGCAAAAGATTTCAAACAGTTCACAGCACACGGAGCAAAAACCGATTTTCAACGTTATGTCTTCTCGGAGACCCCTCCTCTGCTTCCACGGAATTGAAGCGAATACATACTCATCATCACCATCGTTTGGTCACGACGACGACGACGACGACCATTTCGAATTGGTTACTGCGAGAGAAGGCTGAAGCCGTCGGTACCGGCAGGCCGGCCGGCGCGGCATGAAGATCGCATCAAATTAGTGTTGTAAATTGATTTAACACGCACATTAGCCGATTCAACAGTACATATTTTCGAAATATGCCGGGGATCTGCCTTTCGGAAAGGGTGGCGGGTACGGGACGGGGAAATCATGAAGTGCTGGCGAATGAAGTGAAGAGTTATGTTCCAACGGATTTCTGTCGGTTTGATCGTGATGGAGTTGTGGAAGATTGCATTTAATTTTCTCAAATGGGACCCAGGAAAGGAAGCGTAAAGTGAATTGATTCGATCAAGATCATTGGTGCTCACATTGAATACATATTTAACACACTGGCCAGAACCGAGCACGTTCCGGGTGCTTCAGGGAAAGTGACCAGACACTCGCCAATAAGCCAACACTCTCCATATGACACATGGAATCAC